TCAATTTGTTAGTGAGAGATTCACTTATCGTAAGTCTTAAGATAATCAAGCTACTTAGATTTAAATATTTAGTTTCTATTAAAATCAATATAAAAAAATCTTTTTCATTTAAATAAAATTTTCAATTAAATAATTTTTTAATGAACCAAAAGATGAACACTCAAATAAAAGATAAAATAATTGATTATTAATTGAATAACCAAAATATTCAAAAATATTTTTATGTGGAATAAAAGGTAATGAATAAATACTTTTTTCTTGTTCGAATAATTGTTTCGATTGTTGATCAATTTGAAAGATTTTTAAAGCAATTTATTTTCATAAAAAACTTTTTTTATTCCACAAAATCTTCCTTTTTTTTTGTTTAAAAACGGAATAACCCTCCTAAGTCAACTTAAAAATGATCATCAGCAGAAATAAGAAGAACAAATCGAATACATCAATGACAGAAACAGGTGTAGATTCATGTCCCAATAACTCAGTGATTGCTGATGATGATGAACCAATGATTGTTGGTGATGGTCAACGAGTTTATAGTCGAACAATCATTCGAAGCAAGGATAAAGTACTTAATCCTGTTAACAATGAACCTATCGTTGTTGGTAATACATTTTTGAAAATTAAATAAAAAACTAAAACAAATATTCTATTCTCAGAAAAAGGAGTCCATGGAACGATCGTCACGGTGAATCGAGCAAAGCATTACGCTTTTCTCAAACGGTGATTATCATCTACTTTTTATTTTTTCATCTTCAATCTCATATATTCTGTAGTAATGATAAAAATCAATACAAAGACATATTTGCTCGAGACGCATCGATTATCAACCAATCTTATCAACGAAAATTTTTCTTATCGGATAAATGTAAATTCGATGTAATCAAAAGTAATTTATCTGACTTTCGTCATAAAATAAATCATACTTCTCTGTTTCGTAGCAATTAAAGGTCTTGAAGCTGTTAATGTTCAAATAACAGAGAGAAATATCAAGAGTATTTCTCAATTGCCAAAGATACCGAAAAAAAAAAGAAAGTAATGAACAACAAATGGAACTATTGAAAGATGTTTTCAAATCAACAATGTATGATTTAATTAATTTTTTATTTGGCTTAAATTAAACTACATTTTTCATTTTAGTGCCGAATTATTTATAGAAGCTTCCAAAAAAGCTTCAAAAAAAAATAAATAAAACTTTTGTTCGTCATTTACTCATAACAACATCAATATCACGTTTTCTTTTCTTCATCAGATGAATAAAAGAAATCTAAAAAAAACATATTGTATACTTATGAAAAAATTGTTTAAAAACATTTTTTTCTTGTCACAAATAAAAAGAATTTTTTTCTCAACAGTATCTACTTGTTTCAATCATTCCCTTGTGTTTTATTGAGTTCGAATTTTTCAAATTATCTCTGTATAATATTTAATAGTGTTTTGATGTTTTATTTTGCTTCAACAATTTCAATTCATATTCATAATGAATAATAATTCTTGCAGAAAACAAACAATAATTAAGATGGATCACATAAGTTTCTATCTCCAAATATGATATTAATAATACAAATCAATAACATATTGACATATTTGAGTAGGATGAAGAAAAAAAGAGCGTGGGATCATTTAACAATTCAAGAAAACTTTTTTGCTGTCATTGTTTTTTTTTTAATTCATTTAATTCATATCTTGAACTGAGTAAAAACAATCTATACAAACTAAATCAGAATTTAATTTAGCATTTATGTTCATTTATAAATGCAATTGTGTCCGTTATTAAAATCACAATCATCAGTTTGTTTTTTTACTTTTTTAGATTTTTATTATTTTCAATCAAATAAAGGAAATAAAATCAAATTTTTTGTTCAAATAAAAGAAATAAAAATTGAATTTTTATTATTCAAAAAAGATTATCAAGTTGTTGATTCTCTAAAGTTTCTTGCTTCGAATCGAGTATATATTCTTCACCAAGTCTTAACGAAGATTTATCTCGAAAGAAACTTTTGCATTTTTTTATCTCACCAAGTTTTGAGATAAACGCGTGTCTCACTAAGTAGGAGACGCACTCGGTATATACACGTGCGTCATATGTGTCAGAAGCTGCTTTCATTTAAAATTTTAACGACTAATTTGATCGTAGTTTATTTCATTATCTACGGTCCGGAAAAAAATCAGTCATATCAAAAGTATTTTGAGCTAGTTTGAAGAAATGCCAAAGCTTAAAAAAAGATCTATATCTCAGAGAAATGCTGAGATAACAAGAAGAATGAGGGAAAGAAGAACTGATGATGAATTTCGCTTGTTAGACAATAGAAGACGAGCAAACTCTCATAAAATTAAACGACAAGATGATGAATTCAAAACAGAAGAAAATAAAAGAGCCGAAGCTCTGAAAATTGCACGACAAGATGATGAATTCAAAACAGAAGATAATAAAAGAAGAGCCAAAGTTCTGAAAATTGCACGACAAGATGATGAATTCAAAACAGAAGATAATAAAAGAAGAACCGAAGCTCTGAAAATTGCACGACAAGATGATGAATTCAAAACAGAAGATAATAAAAGAAGAGCTAAAGCTCATANTTAAACTGCACCAACACCTTCAGGAAGAATATTTCCCATTTCCATTGAAATCTAATTTATATCATTTATTAATAAATCATAAGAAAACAAAGAAAAGAAGAAAAAAAAAACAAAACATTACGAACTAGTTTTCCAAGTGATTGAAGATTTTTTCTTAATTCATCTCCAATTTGTCTAACAATATCACCTCTTTTTGGTGCTGGAACATTTGACCAATATTGAAAAGCTTTTGCTCTTGCTTGTGGAAATGTAACACTTTGGTAAATATAGAAGATTTATTTAAATAAATGTTAAATTTAAAAAAAAATATTTTATAGGAAAGGTGCTCCAACAACTCCTTTAACAAGTATTGCAACAACAAAAATAGTTGAACGTGTATTAAGACGTAATAGTTTACCAGGTGGTTTATCATCATTAATATGTGGAGGATCTGATATAGGATCATCAATAAGTAAAGATAAAAGAATTCCACTTGTTTCATTTACTGGTTCAACTCAAGTTGGAAAACAAGTTGCTTTAACTGTTCAATCACGATTTGGAAAAACAATTCTTGAATTAGGTGGAAATAATGCAATTATTATTATGAATGATGCTGATCTTACGCTTGCTATTCCAGCGGTTTTTTTTGCTGCTGTTGGAACTGCTGGACAAAGATGTACTACAGCTAGACGTTTTGTAAATTATTTTTAGAAAAAAGAAAAAAAAAAAAAAAATTTTTTTTGTTTTTTTTTTAATTATTTTTATTTAAATTAGATTGTTCAAGAAGGAATATATGATGAAGTATTAACTCGTCTTCGTCATGCATATGAACAAATTGAATCTCGAATAGGTGAACCATTTGAAAAAAATGTTCTTTATGGACCTTTACATACAAAACAATCAGTTGAATTATATGAAAAAGCTTTAGAACAAGTTAAACAAAATGGTGGAAAAATTATTTATGGAGGACAAATTTATAAACAACGTAAAGGAAATTTTGTTCAACCAACAATTGTTACACAACTTAAACATGATTCTTCTATTGTTCATCAAGAAACATTTGCACCGATTCTTTATGTTTTTAAATGCAAAGTAATTTTAAATTTTATTTATATTTAAAAAATAATATTTTTCTTTGAAAAAGACATTTGAAGAAGCTGTTCAATGGAATAATGAAGTTGATCAAGGTTTATCAAGTTCAATATTTACGAATAATCCGGAATATTTATTCAAATGGATTGGTCCTAATGGATCGGATTGTGGAATTGTATATTAAATATTATCTTTTTTTAATTTTAACTTTTTTTTTTTTTTTATATAAAAAGGTTAATGTAAACATTCCAACAAGTGGAGCTGAAATAGGTGGTGCTTTTGGCGGAGAAAAACATACAGGTGGTGGAAGAGAATCAGGTTCCGATGCCTGGAAACAATATATGAGACGATCGACTTGGTTTGTTTATTTGTTTATTTGTTTCAGTTTTTTTAACATTTATTTTGTTAATATTTAATAGTACAATTAATTATTCAAAAGAACTTCCATTAGCTCAAGGAATCCAATTTACTTAAATTCATTTTATTGTTTTAACAAGTATTCAAGCCTTTGAGTGATAACAATAAAAGTTTTTCTTTTTTTATCGGATTTTTTTTTTTGATCTGAAATAAATAAAGAAGAAAATTTTAGATGTTTAAATTGTTGTAAAAAGAAAAGAAAAAAAAGAAAAAAAAAAAAACTTCTAAATGGAAAATCCAGAAGATTTAGAACATATATTATCATGTCATTGGCCACATTTATTTGCCTCAATAGATCCAACAACACCAATAACATTATCGAAATTATCAACACGTAATTGGTTAATATCTTCAACATCTGGTTTATCATATGTATTAAAAAGTGCCTCATCATTATCAATAAATTCTCTTGATTTTGAATTACAATATTTAATTGATTTAAATAGATTTTTATCAAATGAATATCGTGTACCTCAACCAATATCAACAGTAACAGGACAATATCATGCTAATGGAAGATATTGGTTATATGAATATATTGATGGAAAAGTTTATGCTGATAATGATACATCACATTTATTTGATGAAAAAGAACTTATTTCATTAGCTAAATGTATTTCAAAATATCATCAATTTTTAATGACACATTCACCATCATTAGCAACTAATAAAAGAAGTACAACTAGAGAACATCTTATTGATGAACTTAAACAAGCTGCAGTAATTATTAAGATTTTTAGATTTTTTAAAAAACAAAAAAAAAAAAATTAATAATTTTTTTTGTTTTTTTTTAATAAAAATTTAGGATGGA